AGTAGTGATGGCAAGAGCAGAAATCCTATAAAAAACAGAGATCTTTGCACTTCTCCCTCCTCAATTATCTGCACTATTACTAGGGTGGCATTCATATTACTGTGAGGGCAAATATGTCTCTTCCCCAGTTTGCAAATGGCAATACTGAAAAAACAGATAAAGGTAGCAATCACCACTCTGACCCATATTAAAAAGTTCCATTCTCCTCTAAAGCACACTCATTCACCCAGATGAATGGGTCACTTCACACGTCTTTGACAGGGCTGTTACCCTGGAAAGTACTCTGAATACCCCATTTTGATTACTTCCTGGTAGACCAAACTATATTTGGGCCAAATGCCTTGAGAATGAGCTTCAAGGAACAGAAATGATTGCACATCCACAAGCAGTATCAGCATCACTGTTGGCTTAAAAGACTCTCCCTTCACACTCTCATCCTTTGTTCCTTTTCCTGCAGCAAAGTCTCCCTTGTATTGGCACAGGCACTCATGTGGCCTAGTGGTTAACCAACTGACAGATCATAAATTAAAACTAATGTAATAAAAAAGCCTTTCAGCAGGAAGAGCAGCCAGGACATTTTATTTGAACTGAACTACCCAGCATGAATTCCCATGCTGTGTACAACCCTCACTCCATGCATTAGGCTCAAATTTAAGGTATGGGCAGAAAAGCCAACAGAATAATCTTGTGAAAATTACTGGAGAGCTGTATCATGCCTACATGGATAACTTGACTACAGTCAGTGTGAAGAAAAATGAATAGTTTCTTTCCAACTCTATGGCTAGGTTAATGTAATGGAAAGTCTGTTGGCCACAATGAATATAATGGTTGTCTCTGAAATGTTCTCTTGTATATACATTTTGGCATCAGCTCCCCTCCCTGCTTTTTCCATCCATCTTACATTATCTCATTCCAGTTGGTTACTGCACATCCAGAGATAAGAGCTTAGACCATCTGCATTTTATGACAACTAGGAGATTTGAACTTTATTAGAATGGAAATCTGGCTTAACTTCAGTTTCCAAAAACAAGCATCCAGGGAACTGAGCCCTGCAGAAAGTTAGATAAAAAAATAAAGATAGAGCAGCTCACAAAGGTCTTGCTCCTCAGTTCCTGGAAGAGTAAGCTTTGAAGCATGTAATTAAACTGGGCTGTCAGCACAGAATGGCCTATTAAAGGTAAACCAAGGCAGAACTGTAAGATGTTACTATATCTACATTCAGTGTCTCTGAAAGTACTCAGGAATGTTTTGCCAACACATACAGCATGAATGTTCTGGTAAAACAGCATACAGACTCAATCACTAGCTAGACAAACATCTTACCCAATATATTTCCATAGGAAATATATAGAGAAATACAGTTAATTACAAAATTGGCATTTAGATGACTAAAACTTTTAACACTGCTGTTCTTGCATCTGGGGATGGTGGATCTAATAAACCCATAATGTGTTCTTGAGATGAAATTAAGAGGTAAATATGTTACATACCAAAAATACAAGGATTATTAACCATAACATATCCATATGTTCTTCAGAAAAGGTCCATCCAGATACTATTGCAATTTCAAGCTTTTTGTTTGAAAGATTCATGGTCTAAGGCAGGATACCAATAGCTTGGTAAATAACCTTTTTTTTTTTTTTTAAATCTCTCTTGTAGCCAAGAAGTTGCATATGAAATGCAGATAAACACTTTCATTATGCTATATTGAGTGTAGATATTTTGAAGGATGGCTAATGGGAAGCAATCAGTAATTTTATTAGATTGAAAGAGAATTAAAAATTCCTAACTTACATTGATTATTTGGGTTTTGTTGTGTGGGTTTTAATAGTGGATAGCAACAAAGAAAGTAACAAAAAAGCAAGCTTGCCAAGATCCACTCTCCATTGATTTTCTTAACAAATCCCACACATATACTTAGCTGAGTAGGACTTCCACCTGCACAGAAGGGGCCTTTGAAAAAACCTTTTCTAAAAATCAGTACAAAATCAGTACTCAGGTACTCAGGTTTCAGTACACAGTATTACTGCCAAAAATACTTTCCAGGGAATTCTGCAAAAAGTTAACAAATCACACTGGTTCCAAGATTAACTTTGCCAGTTTGTCCTGGTCAAGGACTCAAATGACGTTTAATAGATTTGTAACTCAAAGTACTCATCCTCCCTCACCGCCCCCAAGAAAGTCCTCTCCTTACCCATAACATCTGACTTTATTTTGGCATGCTGTCAGTGCATTTTGCAGTGACTTTGTTCCCTGGCTTACAAATTGTAAAGACTATTTAGAACATCCACTTTTAAGCCTTGTTAATGTTGATGCCAGAATAACAGCATTACCTTTAGCAGCTTTAAAGTTTCAAACATAATGAGAATTCACGGCTAACACAGCTTTAAAATGTGTTAAAACCAGATGAAAATCACTTTTAAATGGTCTCAGATTAAATTGGTACAACGTTCTTAGTGTGTGGAAGGCCTTGATGAGCTTGTGAGTAGCATACTGGTTTTCATTTTAATTCACAGTTCACCATTATAAAGTAAAAGCCGATTAAAAAGGCGTGTTCTAATTTTTTCTACAAAGGAGTGTGAATTTAAGCCTCAACAATCTAGCAGCTGCTTTTTAATTTAAAAATAAATACCAAAAAACCCCCCCCACAAAAAAAAACCAACAACAAAAAAAACCCACAACAAAACCAAACACACACACACAAACCCTTTCAAAGTTGTTGCTTATGTCAAGACAGTGAAATTCCACTTTCTTTTATCTTTCATGATGTGCTTAGTTATGTGGGCCTGCTCCAGAACCCTCCTTACAAATGCACACTGATTTTTATGCAGAATAGTTTCAGTGAAACAATCAACACCTCTCAAACTCATGCCATTCCAGTATACAGTTTCAAGTTTTTGGTTACAAACATCCTCACTGAAGTAAATCTCTCCAGTGCCACAGTATCTTTTTAACACTGTAATACAAACTATCAACTAATTTTAGGTCATTTATCAGACACAGCAAAGTCTTTTACATTGCTGAAACCAGCTATATCAGAACATAAGGTACAAAGAATTTCTGCAGCATTTTTTTTAATTTTTTTTTTTTTTTTTTTTTTTTTTTTTTTTTTTTTTTTTTTTTTTTTTTTTTTTTTTTTTTTTTTTTTGTGGCATGTATCAAATACTCTAGATCTTTAAGTATACAGTTCAAGATTTGAGAGATTGGAAATGGGGAACATGTTCCCAAGAGCTGCCTCATTTTTGTAGATCAGTCATCTCCAAAATGCAGTTTGATACAATGCCATGCTTGAATATTCTGGATTTTAAAATCCAAGATTAACTAATGGCTAAATTCTGCAATTTGATTTATTGCACAGGACTAATTTGCATATACAAGAACATGCCTATGAGTACCTAAGTTCAGTAGTCATTACCTAAACATCCTCACTTATTAGATGAGGTATAAGGACTATATTATGTAGTAGCAAATCAAATTTCTGTTAGTCACTTAGGCCTGACTGGGAATGCCTATTAAAATTTACCATACCTCTCTTTTATATGTACTTATTTTTAAAGGAATACGGGTAAGAGATACTTCTTAATTTTTTAGTTTAAAAGAAGTGGCTTAGTGAAATTTACTGATACAGTTAATGTTAAATCTTAATTCTGTTTTTTTAAGAGACATTCCAAAAAGAAGGGAAATAGCCATTATCCTATGTCTATTATCCATTACTTCCCCATAGGGTTTCACCTCTTTGGCACCTCACAGTGGGCAAAATGCAAGAGGTTAGGAGAAAAACATTAAAGGTGGGAATGGAATATTAACATCTCAGCTGTTTCATAGAATTTTATTGAGTGATTGCAAAAGTATATCTAATTTAACAGACTGTTTCACTTTACACAGGCGATAATATTTACGTGTCTAAAAAAGGATCCCTTAAAAAATTTGACAGTTAGAAGGTCTGAATTAGACATGGTGTATGTATGCCTGTAGGTGTGTGTCTTCCTGTAGAACTTGTGAATTGCTTAGTTTCAATCACGCTAGTATAACTGTCTACAGTTGTGTCCTCCACATGGGATATTTGATATTAAAGAGCTCATGGAGATCAAATATACTTGACAAGTGCCCATTAAAAAAAAAACAACAACAAACAAAAACCCCACAACAAACCTGCTTATTTAAAAATCATGAAATGAGGTTGCAGTGAAAATTGCTGTAATAAGCTGCAAAGTAAATAAAATGCATCTCATGTTTTATTTCCAACTTAGAAGCTCCAGGCCCATCAGTACATAACTGCACAAATGAAATATTTGTCTCCAGCCACTTCTCAGAAAAATGGCACTATCTGAAATGAGACTATTGATTACATGGCTTTGCTCTTTGGATTCTGCAGCTCTGTTGCCCCCGTTAAAAACTTTTTTTGATAGACACTGGCAAGTATATATAGCTTATGAATGATACACCTGCAACCCAAACAAAATTATGCGTCATGCAGGAACGCAGCATTTTACCAGTGAAAGTAATTAAATTTAGCCATTAAAAAAACCACCAAAATCTCAATGTAAACCATTTCCTATTATTGATCCAAAACAATTTCAGAGCAACCTTTACATGTCTTTGACCTCAAAAATGCAAAGAATGCATCGTTTTATCTATTCAGTGCAAGTGTACTTAGAAAAGCCTCCCCACCCCCAGACTCTCAGGAATGTGATTACTTAGCCCACGTTTTGCAAATGGGAAGTTAAGCACAGTATGCAGGTGTTTGTACTTAAGGAGCCCAGCATGTACTACAAAACTAGCGTGTTTGGCTGTGCATGTGTTCCCACGCAGAGGATATACCTTTCTAGAACCATTGAAAAAAAATAATGAGTCTGTCAGTGCAGAGCATTATTACTTGGGATACCAAATGGAGGCAGAACCCAAATTTCATTTGGCAGCTTTGCATCCACGTGGATCACACTAGTCTGTTCTCCATGGCCATAGAGCATGTCAGGGAGAAGTTTTATTGCACCGTGGTGATGAATCCAGCCAGCTCTGGCGAGCAGAAGCCTAAAAATGCTTGCCAACCACTCTGTTTCAGTAGTCGCGCCCCGTGTGACAGAAGCATCTCGAGTCATGCGGAGGACCGGCCGGCCCCGCCGGAGGCGCTCAGCCCGCGGGACGGGGCAGCGGGCGGC